ACAGAATGGGAGGGAGGTCAGGAAGATAATGCAGCATGAGTCGAGAATAGGGCCTTAATGCAGTCGCGAGGGGAGACGGCGCAGACTCGTGGAATAGACACTTGTTATACCTGAGGTCAGATACAAGCGTAAGCATACTTACCTTCGTATCAGAATGCTTACACACGTGTCAGAAAGTAAAGTCTTCCCTTTGCTCAAAAACAAAACAAATCTGTATAAGGAATGTCAGGCATTCGAGGGAACCAAGTGTGCTTCGCTTCTTTACTTTTGTATCAACTCGTGATGTCTTGAAGACAGGCCAAGTCTAAAGACTTTTTGAGGGACTGAAGGAAAAGGAAGCTTTTATTTTATTTGAAATTTTATTCGTTATTTTTTGTAAGACTTCTAGCAGACAGAGGGGGAAGAGGCATGCCGGGAGAAAGGCCTGACAAGCAGCCTTTTATAGTATTTAGTGTCAGGCAATGTGGCACCTGATCCCCATTATTCTGACTTTTCACTCTCGATAGGTCACTCATTTGAGTCTAGTTTTGATCCTGCCTGGCTTGGCATACTGTAAAAACAGGGTTTTGTCACAGCATTCTGTTTGTTTTCAGCAGCTCTTCTGTAAAAGGCCTCTGAAGTCTGTTGGTGGACTTGAGGTTCTCTGGCCTGCCAAGGACATAGGCGATTTAATAAACAAATGTGAACAATAATAGGAGAGGATGAAGCAGATTTTTAGGAAACTCCTTAAGAGTTTCCTGAGCTTTGAAGTTAGGCAGACTTAGGATCGATTCCCAGCAACGCCGCTGGGGAGATTTGTTACCCCTCACGGTGACCATGGGACCTGTCTCGCCAGGCCGCTGCAGGATTAAATGAGAATGGGAGAGCGACACCTGACTGGCTGCTGTAAGGAAGGGCTGCGTGTGGTCCTTCGTGGAGCGTGACGCCATCGTCAGGTTGTAAGCGACGTCGTGGAATGTGGTGCTGTCCCCGAGCAGCGGCTCTCGGGCTTGTAGGGAGCAGCTCAGCAGGGAGACTGGAGTGGAGCTTTCGTCTCATCCCCAGGGACTGATGCGGCAGGTCAGGGGTGCAGAACAGGAGTCTGCGTTTCTGACAAGCACTGAAGACTGATGAGGGCAGGATCTCACCGTGCAGAGTTTTCCTGGCTCCTCTTTTAACAGTGATCACTGTGGGCATCTAAGCACTCACCACAAAATTCTAATTACGGAAAGTCATTCAAGAACAGCGCTGTAAGATTAGGTACATACGTACTACGGTGTAGAAATATGTGCATCACTCACCGTGGGTACTTTACCAAAAATGAGGTTCACGTTTGAAATAAATAAAAATAGCAAAAGGAACTCTATTCAATAGAACATATCAGCCTTCAAAGTTAATAAACTTGGAGTGTTTCTTTACCAAAAGAAAGACATATTTAGAGACCAGGATGTAATGCCCAAAAAACGTCGTGCAGCATCCGTCTTGTAATTTGGCCTGGGTGCCATTACTGAGGGTGCTCTGGTTAATCTTGTCGAGACGATATGAGATGTGACGTGTAAGGTATTCATAGGACCCCGTGGGGTAAGTTGTTAAGAGTCATTGGTAAGTGAGAGGATGGAATAAAACTGGAACGAAGCAAGTCGGCCGTCCGGTCTCGGTATTTCCTGTTGTTAGTGCTAGAATGTTTAAGAACACGACGTACCTAATTTTCCCTCTGATATTTATGTGGTATAGTTTATATATACGTGTGTATCCACATGCACACAGATGCACGCACATACACGCAAACAGAGCCGTATTTGATGGCCGAAGAGGAAGAGGCCCCAAGGGCGCTTTAGCGTACAATTAATATTTTGGTTAGAAAATCAGCAGATTGTTTCAGTATGGTTATGTGTTATGACATCATATTCCAGTAAAGTTATAATGAACAGAAATTTTGTTTGTCTCTGTGGCAAACCAGAATGAGTTTTGTAATTGTCAGCAGGCCTTAGTGATTACACTGGCGCCCACCCCCCGTCCTGTGGTTAAAGGTCTGTGAGCATTCCACTTGTGGACCTCGATTTTCAGAAGTGTGTAATTAATTGTAAACATTTGTTCTCTGGTGCACACTTGCCGTATAAGATCTCAGGAGTCAATTTCTGATATCGGGTTGTCTGTTTTAAGGTTTAATAGTGGAACCGGTTTAAAATAGACATCAAGGTCTGTGGCGGTGGGAAAAAGTGAATTTCCTGGGACACTAACTGAAGATAACCTGCATTCTTCGTAGTAGCCTGTCCAAATGTCTGCACTGAAGGGCTCTCGTATGAAATAGGCAACAGGAGATCGCGCACTCGGTACATACTTTCTGTGATCAAAGAGCGAACAGCGTTTTCATGCTTCTTAGTCTTTGCATGTTAAAAATCATCTTTTACTCTGAGCGATTTTTTCTTTTAACTTTTTTATGTTTACCGATTAAAACTGAGAACGTATGCCATATAGTAAAAACACATTTACAGTACTTCATCTAAAATTAATAGAAAACTGTGGGCCCAGGAAAACGGAGTCTGAGTTTAAAACAGCGGCTTTTTTTTTTTCCAGACTCTGGATCCCTCCCCGGCCTTTGACGCTGTCGATCGTCCCGTTCCCTCACGTGGCGCTGTCATTTCTTGTCTGACCCTGACGGTCTTTCATCTCCTTCACTGCCGTCTATTATTTCCCCTGCCTTTTGATCATGGGCGTTAATCAGACCCCAGCCTGAGGCTCTCTTTCTGGGTTCCCGTACCTTGGTTTCCAGGTACTTACCCAGTCACATGGCTTCAATTATTGCCCCCCAAGTCTGCATCTGCGGTGCTGATCGCGTCTCTGGTCCTTCACCTTCCGTCGCCCTTCCCTGATTAGTCCCATCTGCCTGCTGAATTCTTCTATTATGGGCTCTCTCGAGTTCTCTCAGGTTGGATATAGAACTGCTACTCGGATGTCCAGTAACCACCTAAAACTTAGCAGGACGTCAGTTGGACTTCTTTTTGCTTGGAAACAGGTATTTTTCAGCACCGGAGTGATTTTTTTTTTTTTACTTATTTTTTTCAGCATTGCAATTACACATCCACTAATCCATCAACGTCGATCCTGTTAGTTTTGCTCAATTGCCCAATTCAGTGGTCATTGTTCTCAGTCATTTCACATGGCCGGTGAGTAGCCTTTGACAGTTGACCCCTCGCTTCTCCTTGATACCCTCTTTCTCGCTTGGCTTTCAGGAAGGACGCCATGCTGGCCAGGTCGCCCTCCCACCCCTCCCTCCCACAGAGCTCTTACTGTCTTGTGACTTTAAATTCCATCTAAATGTCATTGATTCCCAAATTCAGTTCCCACCTTGGACCTCTTTCCTGGAGTCCAGACTCTCAAATCCAGCTGCTCGTTTGACATCTGCACTTTGGATGTCTAGCAGGACTCATAAACGATAACATCTCCAAACCAGAGCGTCTGCCGTCTGTCCCCAACAAACCCCTTCCTCTTGCGGTCTTTCCAAGTCAGTCTGTGGTACGCCACCTTCCAGTTCCTCAGGTCAAAAACCCGGGGGCCATCCTTGACTCCTCTCGCGTATTCCACAGCCAGTTCTTGGGTAAACCGTGTCTCTTTACGACTGAAACTCCTCCAGCATCAACTCCTCCTCTCTCCCATGTGGCCCCTGGTTCAGGCCTCTCTTGCCTGTCGTGTGGCATTTCCGCAGCCTCCGGGTAGACCTGGCTTCTGCTGTCATTCCTCCACAGTCCCTTCTCAACCCAGCAGTCAGATGGTCTTTCCAAAGTGTAAGTCGGGTGATGTCACCTCTGTGCTCGAAGCCCTCTGGTGACTGGCCATCTCGCGCAGGGAGGAAGTCAGGTCCCGACAGTGGTTTCTAAGGAAGGCCCTAAGGGCCTCTGGCCACGTGGCCGCATCTCCCGGCCGTCCTTCCCTCACTCCCTCAGCTCTAAGCAGACGGGCGCCCCGCGCAGCACCCGGACGCGCAGCCGCCTCGGGGCCTTGGCACTGGGCGTTTCGCTGCCTCCGTCGCACCGTTCTGGGTGACCCGCATGGTCGCCTGCCTCACCGACTTCAGGTTTTACAGTTTCCGTCTTCTCAGCGAGACCTTCCTCAGGGGCCGCGCTCTCTCAAACCCGTGTTGCCGACACTTCTCCCCCTTCCCTCGGTGACTATCTTAACAGGTGTCTCTAGCATTCGAGACACTGGACACGTTCATCGCACTTGCTGTCCGTCTGCGCTTCCGTGCTGTGTTGCTGTTCGTCGTCACAGTCCCGTCGTACAGACGTCCCGTAAGTGATCGTCGCGTCAGCGGGTTTGTCGTAGGTCCTCGTTTCCTCCAGCTGCTTTGTCCTCACGGCCGCCTCGGTCCCCGCGCGTGGTCCCCACCGCAGCTCGCCACGCCCCCTCACCTCGGGCTCACCCAACACACACCTGCCAAAAATTTTACCTTGAATGCACATTTTATTATACTTTCTACCTCAGAATGGGCTTAAATTCCCTACTCTTACGTTGCATCTGGTCTCCCTGTCCCCTGGCAGAGGACTCATTGCTTCGGAGTAGTAACTCCATCGTGCCGTCTCTGCCATTTCCAGGCATCGTCATCTGCTGCTCAAAGCGCAGTAATCGGCGTGTTGTCACCTGACCGGGCTCGCTCGCCTCCAGCCTCTGTAGTGGCTCCTTTGTCCTTCAGGTCACTTGGCTCACTTCTGTCAAAATTCGCCTGAAACCTTCTCTCCAGGAAGTTTTTGTGATATAGTTAACTAAGTTTTACTATATTATGGATGATACTGTTACCTGTAATACATGTTTCATGGAGATCAAAGATCAGTGTAACTTCTTTATGATCAATAGATGTTTTGACTCATTTTATCTTCTTACACATTCGGGAGGTTAAACCTTTGTGAGGGTTAATAAAAGGGTATAGTACCTTGTATCATCGGTACCATTTTAAACAAAACAAATCTTATCGATCATGGAGTGATTTTATTGAACTAACATTAACATTTATTTTCTTATTTTAGGTATCATTGCCCAATGCCCAAGATCTTTTATGTTCAGCTGACCGTAGGGAATAATGAATTTTTTGGGGAAGGGAAGACTCGACAAGCTGCTAGACACAATGCTGCGATGAAAGCCCTTCAAGCGTTGCAGAATGAACCTCTTCCAGAAAAATCACCGCAGGTACAGAGCCCTGCGCACCTGGCAGTGTCCGTCTTAGATATCCCAGTCAGGTTGATGAAAAGACAAATAGATGCATTTTTTAAAAATAAAAGAAATAATGGCTTCTGTTAGGAAAGAAGACAAGAGTGGTCATCTCCTGCGATTTGCTTCTCAGATCACCTGTCTGCTATGCTAGACTCATGTGTTCCTGCCAGGACGACCTTGCCTTTGAGACCTTGGGTTCACCTGTGCCGTTCAGTTCTCAGGCAGCTCAGGATTTTGGAATGTGTACAAGGATGAGGAGTAACATTCATTTTCCTGGCATGGACTGCTACAATTATCGGGCATGGATTACATTGTGTCTTTTTGGATCTTTCAGTCCTACTTAATTTTTACAAATGAGAATATTGAGGCAATTCTTGAGTAATTTCACCCATTCTCACGGTTTCAGCTCCTTTCTCTGTTCGGAATAGTCCGTGCAGCGCAGACGTGACTTATAAGTCATCTTCTTACTGAGTTCTCCACTTGGGCTGTGCAGTTTCAACCTCCGCGGTTCCCCTTGCCCCACACTTGTTCCTCCCGCTTTGAGATTTAGCCTGGTTGATGGCAGATGTAGGCATTTTCCTCCTTACACACTTTCATTAGGACGTTCATCTGTTTTCCCACTACATCATGAGTCCCTTGACAGCAGGAAGTTGGGCTGTTTATCTCTGATATTTACACGAAACATCCAGTGTAGGTGAGGCCCTCCGTCCAGCAGTGTGTGTCAGATAAGTGAGCAGGTGAATTGGTACCAGTGCCAGACTCAGAGCTCCAGAGCTGGATTTTCATCCTGTACTCTTTCTGCAACTTAGTTTTCATGGAAGATTAAATATGTTGCACACCAGTGGAGGGAGGGACAGATGGAAGGAGGGAGGGAGAGAGTGTGTGTGTGCGCGTGCGTGTGTGTGTGTGTGTGTGTGTGTGTGCGTGCGTGTGTGTGTGTCGGGGCGGGGGATAGAGATTTCTAAAGAGAACTGGATCTGGGGCTGCAGGATAAACTCAACTTAGTGTATGATTTTTGCGCTCAGCATTTATCCTTCTGCTTTGAGGGAAAAAACTAAAAACTGAATCACAAAGGGCCTCATAGCAAAGTCCTCGACTGCTGTGGTTCATAAGAATTCACAAGATCCGGGCTACGGTTTTCTGTTTTTTATTGTACTTTATTTTAGGTAGGCCTTCTTGCTTGTAGAGGATGTGCAAAATTTGATACGAAGCGAAGATTCAATGTCATCCTGTTTTTTTGTGATTCAGAATGGCGAATCCGGGAAAGATATGGATGACGACAAAGATGCAAATAAATCTGAGATCAGCTTAGTGTTTGAAATCGCTCTGAAGCGGAATATGCCGGTCAGTTTTGAGGTACGTGCTGTGCAGAGATCTTCCAGTTCCCTTACCCCGCCCACCCCGCTCCTCATTAATTTAAACAAACAAACAAACAAACAAACAAACAAACAAACAGAACTAACTGGCATGCTGGTATCCTGAAAGAGTTAATGTGCTTTATTATGCTCACACTCTGTCATGAAATGAAATAGGCCCTGGGGAAGATAGAACTTATAATGTCATGGATCCTGCTGATTGATCTCTTTGGCTTTTCTGTATTAAGCCATTTGTATATATGATATTTCAGTTTTCACCATCGAATATATTTTCTGAATATAAGATAATTTCTAATTCTCTTTAGGATTTGGTGTTTTTAATAGAATCAAATCGAAAATACACCGGTTAATATTTAGTGACACACGTATATTAATATCTAATTTCTTCTGAATTTGTTGCCAAAATATGTTTAAATTTTACTAATAAGTCACTAAGAATTAAGCCACTCTCTACTTTGCAACTTGGTGAATGTCACAAAATATTTATAAAATTGTGTGAAATTTAAAAGAGAACAAAATTTTTAACTATTATAATACCTCCTATATTAAGAGGTTACTAATTTTGCAACTCAAATATCTAGAAAACAGGCAAACCCCAAGAAATAGGCCGAAACAGTTGCGGCATATCCTCATTCAAATTGTGTGATGTTGACTTCTAGAAAGCTCTCACATTTAGCTCGCTGGCAGGATCAACTCACCTCAGCTAAGAGCCTGTTGGTTTTTTAGACGCAGTTCCAGCAAGTGGGTTATCTGATGTCTCGGTGTGTAGCAGATTAGAAGCAGCAAACTGGGGAAGGCAGGGAGAGAACTCACCTGAGGGCCGACCAGCAGGGCCCAGCAAGAAACGACAGCGAAGCCGTGGAAAACCCATCACAAGTAAATGCATCCAAAGCTATGGGGCCTCTCAAAGGTCACAGTGAATAGGAGCAGTTTTTTCAGTCTTAGACGTCCTTGGAGACGTCAATATGTATTATAGAATGTTTGGTGTTCATAATGGCAACCTAATGTGAGCAATCAAAGGTTAAATGTTCGGTATTCTCTATTACATCAACACGGTATATACTTTTTTTAATTGAAGAGGCTGTCCATCAAAGTGGTTAACATAAACAGTTTTAGTGTTTCAGCTAGTAAACTTAAATTACTTGGAAAATGTGCTTATCATAAATTCCTTATCCCCAGTATTGTTGGAATATTGAGCTATTGTGTTTTTAAATTTTCTTTTCCTACTTGGTATCTAATATTAAAAGACAGACTTAGAATATATTGTTAAATAGTAAACTAAATAGGGTATCTTTCATAGGTCAGAATTTTGATGGAGACTAAAGTTCTGAGCACTCAAGTTTTGGAAAGCATCTTTCCTTGAAGAGTTGTTATAGTTTAAAGACCCCATTAATACAGGGTTTGGGAACAGTCATAGTTGACAGATTCATAATCCATTACCCTAGAAGGCTAGGTATTTTTATGGTATATCCACTTACCTTTTTAAGATCATGTCACAGAGAGTAAACATTCTTTTCTATAAAACAGCCTTTGTGGTCTCCGTCAAAAACAGGTTATTTTTCACCCATCAAACCCTGTAGGCTTCTGCGTGCAGGATGCTTTTATGGCTTATAAGATGTAGTCCTCAGCCTCCAGTAACTTACTCTTCCAGAGAGGAAAATCAGATACGTTCATAGTTACATACAAATGATCATTCCGATGGCCTGGGTACCTCATCTAATGTAGTGTGTTTTATGTTCTTAATTTTCTGTTCACCGTAGTTAGAATTGCCTATTTTAAACTAGTAAAAAACAATTTGGGGTATGAATCGAACGTATTTATTTATATTTCTGTTCTTCCAACTTCAGTTCGTTAAACATAAGTATCGTAAATGAATAGTCCCTGTGTGATACCGTCTTAGTCGCTTTAATTAAAGATTATAATTTTGGCATAATTCCTAATAATTTTAATTTTGATTATGAGATGAACATTAAGACAGACTCATGCCGTAAGAACACGTTAAGTCCCTGTACGTTTTTTAACGTTCCATGTATATTTTGCAGGTTATTAAAGAAAGCGGACCGCCACACATGAAAAGCTTTGTCACTCGGGTGTCAGTGGGAGAGTTCTCCGCAGAAGGGGAGGGAAATAGCAAAAAGCTCTCCAAGAAGCGAGCTGCGACCACTGTGCTGCAGGAGCTACGGAAACTTCCACCTCTTCCTGTGGTCGAAAAGCCCAAACTATTTTTTAAAAAACGCCCTAAAACAATAGTCAAAGTGAGTATGTGCTTATGAACACTAGTCAGTCTTACTGTGTAAATATTATGGTAACTGTAGATAAAAGTTTTCCCATAGGGCAGGCATCTAAACCGGTGGATTGCACACAGCCCCACAATCAGGGTGGACAGATGACTGTAAGTTGATAACAACTCTGTTTTGCTTTGAGATACCTGTGTGCGTTCATCAGATAATAATACTTTACATGTTTATGGCTTAAAAAATACTTTTCTGTTCATGATCACCTTCATGTATAATTCTCATCAGGACTATGCAAGGTAGATGATGTCGTTCGTCCTCATTTTACAGATAAGGTTTTATGAAACGCCTTCAAAGCATTGGCTCACTTTTATTCACCTGTCACGTGGGGCAGCCTGAACTGCTCTGATCTCTGGTCCAGTGTTCTTCCTGCATGCCACACTGCCATGTAGTAACTTCACAGGACGTGCGCAATGGTCCTAGGAGGCAAAGTGCTGGTCACATGAATGGTACTGACGCTGATGACCGCGGCCGCTTGGCATGATTTATGGTCACTAATCCTCATGGCAGTCTCATGGGGCAAACAGTATTATTTTGTTTGCATTCTTTCAGGCCTGTATAGATCTTGCCAAAGAAGAATACAGAACACACAGCTTTTCAAGATATGGTGACTTTTATTGGATTAAGTTTTATTTTTATTATTAAAAAAAAAAAAGGTAAACGTTGGAAGAATGAGGTAAATTGGCACTTAGTACAGGACAGTGCCCGTGAGTACTCAGCATGTGTGACACGGATGGAGCTGGAATTCTTTGTCTAGAGAAAGCCTGAAATTTCCTGCCTGTCAGTAGCCAGCTCAGCCTCCCTTACTTAGTAGACTTCCGATTAGGCTCTACAGATCGGTGATTGCAGAAATGAAATACGTTTTATCTTTGATGAATTTCTTTTGTTTAGATTGTACAGTAGCACTGTTTAGGTATTTGGGTTTTATACCTTTGTACCTTTGCTTTGTTTAGAAGTATGTATTTACCTGAATTAATAACTACATAAATAACTGCATAAATACTTGTGTTTTGTTTTAAACGAATCTTGTCATTTCTTCACTGAGAAGATGTAGGTTTTGCATTCCCTGAAGTAGCCTTCTACATTGTATGTAGGGTAGACTAGCAATAAATGCCAAACAGATCCACTCATCGTAGTCACAGAGGTTCAGAGTGGGGCTGGCTTTCATTCATATGCTCTAATCACACGGTCGGGGAGTGGGCTGTGGTTGTTAAGGACATGACCTTTGGAGTCACTTTTGAGTGTGTAACTTGCTCAAGTTACCTAACTTTTCTAATCTTACATGTCCTCATTTACAAAGGAGCAATCTAATTGAACTTGCTTGTTAGGATTGTTATAAATATTAACTGAAATAACACCAGAATGCATTAGTAATTATTATTATTCATTAATAATACAAATAAGTATCTAGTAAATATTAACTCTTGTTATTTTATGTCTAATTCTATCTATTTACATTTTATATGTACATGAATATACCCATGGTTCGTTTTCTTAAATCTTTTTATGTATTAAATCTGTAGCTTATCCACAATGGCAGACCAAAACTGGTCACAGTAACTCCCATCCAATTTATTAAACTAAATCTAATCTTAATAAATTAAGAATCATAAGCCGTTAAGCTAGAAAAGCTCTATACAATTTTATAGTAGGATATAAATATAACTCTTGTTACTTTTAATTTACCCACTAAAAGCAAAATTATTGTTTAAATAGTTTTCTCTGGAGAGGGGAGAAACATTTTGAATTCTCAAAATTATTTGCTATTACTTTTAGTATGTAGTCATATTATTCCAGAATTCTTTCTATCCACTGTTCGGAGCTGAGCTGGGACTAGCCTTCTTCAGGGAGGCCTTCTCAGACCCTCGAGGTCAGGTTCGCCCCTCACACTTTTCCTCACATACATCATGCTTGGAATCACTTGTCTGTAATTGTGTTAACGAAATTTATGTTAATTTATGTTAAAGTCTGTAGATGTCCTCTGAAATGTAAGGGTATTTTGAGAAAGCAGCACCCATACAACAAGTTGGAATTTCAATAATTTTAATATGATCATACCTTACAGTGGGCCAGTAAATGGATCAGCTTAGATTAGTATCTTTGTTTTCAGTATTTTTGTCACCTCCTTAATGTCTTATACATCTAGGGTCTGCAGTTCCTTATATGCAATAGAAGTAGAGAAAATATGTTGATGATTTGCCTTGATTATTTATCGTAGTCAAACAGCCACATCGTCTCATTTGGTCCTCTGCATCACTCTACGATGTGGCTGTGGTCCCCATTTTGTAGGTGATGTTCTTGGCGTTTAAGAAACTTGCCCGAGATCACGCAGCAGAGTCGGGGCTCAAGTTCAGTCATCTCTGACTCTAGTACCCATTTGGAACTGGTCACTTGTGAGCTGTTTTTGGATTTTAAGATTTACTCTAAAAAGTTAATACGTAAGACTCGCTGATGCTGTCTTTGGATTTATATCCTGTTTTTTCATGTTCTTTTCTCTAAGATGAGACTGCAAAGAAGGCTTTCTGATACAATTTTCCGGACACAGCTGTTACAAGACTGTCTTTACTGGTTTGTAGGATGGCAATCTGAGGGCCGATACCCAAGGAATAACTTGATTGTCAAGGGTGCCGGCAGTCGGTTTCATTTGAGGGAAGAAAGCAGCCCTTCTTGCTGTTCTCAGAACTTCATTATTATCTCATCAAATTTATGCATCTGGCCCTTCGTCATTGGAATCCACATCAACAACGATACCTTTGCCACTTAAGACATTTTTATGCAAGAGTCAAATTAAACTGGCATAGAGACAACATGCCATTGGGAGTGCGTTTATTTGAACATCTTCATGAACTAGGCATACTTCTAGTCCCAGACTCAGAAGCTCCCCTTTACCTTTTCAGTGGTACCTCAGTCTTAGACTTAAAAATTAATGTCTGTGTTTATCTTTTCTTATCAGTTCTTCTTTACTTCCTTTATAATTTACTTAATTTTTATTTTTTGATATGTAGGTAGAAGAGGAAACAGTATTTTATCAAAAGCTAACATTTTCCTTGGCTCTCTTCTCCCCCTCCACCTGACTTGCAGAGTTGACCTTGTCCCTGATAATCTGCTTTAGAAAACATTTTCAAGATGAAATGAAGTTCTGACTATATGACACACGCACACCTTCGTTTCTAGGAATAGTATATTAGGTTTATGTATGACTCGTATGTAAGTTAGAAAGCATATTGAGTAAAAGTAAGACACACTCCTTAATTTGAATGTAGACCATTTCTCAGTAAGGTTGAAGCTTTGCGCATGCCCCTCCCGATCCACCTCCCACAGGTAACCACTGCTGTTAGTTTTGTGTTTAACGTTTCCTTACTTTACACTTCTACTATGTTTATTTTTCTGAAAAGTGGTATTTGGTTAGATTTTTAAAACAACTTTTTTGAGGTATAGTTGACATCTAGTGAACTGTTCATATTTAAAGCATACTCTTATAGGTTTTGATACATATATTTACACACACACACACACACACACACATACACTGTGAAACCATGACCACAGTCAAGATAATGAACCTGTCCACTCATTGCTTCCAAAAGTTTCCTTGTGCCTCTTGGTAAACCCCGCCCCCCCATCAGTTGCCAAGCAACCACTCTTTTTCTGGCTGGCCTCTTTGACTCAGTATAATCATTCTGAGATTCATCCATGCTGCGTGTATCAACTGTTGGTTCTGTTTTGTTGCTAAGGAGTATTTGGTTGTAAGGATATACCACCATCGTTTATCCAGTCCCCCTTTGGTGGGCGTTTGGGATGTTTCTAGGCTGGGGCTACTACAGATAAAGCTATTATGAACATTTATGTGTAAGTCTTATGGGCGCATGTTTCATTTCCCTGGGTAAAGGAGTGGGGTGGCTTGGTCATTTAGTAGGTACACAACATTTTAAGAGACTTCCAGTTGTTTCTCTAAGGGAGTATGTGAGCATTACAGTATGCGAGTATGTGAGCAATGCTCTTGTGTAAGCATTACAGTTGCGTATCTTTTCTAATGTGTAGTACAGTCTTAAATTTCAGTCGTGCAGATATGCATGTTTTGTTATCTCATTGTGGTTTTAATTCACATTTCTCCAGTGACTGATGATATGAGCATTTTTTAATGTGTTTGGTAGCACATGAGTCTTGATGAGATAGATGTTCAGGTCTTTTCCCCACCTAAAAAAGTTTGGTTGCCCATTTCAAATAACGATAATTTTATTATTGAATTTTGAGTGGTCTTTATACATTCTGGATACAAGTTTTTATTAGAGAGATGGTTTGCAAATATTTTGTCTAAGCCTGAATTTTTTTTTAACTATTTCAAAGAACAGAACTTATTAATTTTGAAGACGTCCAATTTATTATTACCGTTATTTTATAGAATGTGGTTTTGGTGCTGTATCTCAGAAATTGTTACCCAACCAAGTCACAAATATTTCTCCTATGTTTTCTTCTGGAAGTTTTATAGGTTTAGAGACTGCATTTAAGTCCGTGAGTCATTTTGAGTTAATTTTTGTAAATGGTATGAAGTATGGATTAAAGTTTGGGTGGTTTTTTTTTTTTTCTTTTTGCATATGAATATCCAGTTGTTCTTGTACTTTTGATTGAAAAGACTTTCCTTTCTCCACTGAACTGCTTTTGCACCTTTGTCAAAAATCAGTTGGCCATAGATGTGTGGGTCTGTTTCTGGATGCTGTTCTGTTGATTGATCTTTTCATCTTTATGCCAGTACTACACATACTGTCTTGATTACCTTAGCTTTGTAATGAACTCGAAGTTAGACAGTCTGAGTCCTGTAACTTTATTCTTTTTTTCCAGAGTTGTTTTGGTTATTTGGCCTTTTCATTTTCATATGAATTTTAGCATTGGCTTATTAGTTATTACCGAACAAAGCCTGCTAGGATTTTGATTGGGAATGTAATGAATTGAATGATCAGTTTGAGGAAAATTGACATTTTAGCAATATTGAATCTTCTTTTTTTAGTGCGTCTCTCCATTTATTGAGATCTTACTTAATTGCAGCAGTGTTTTATAGTTTTAGTGGGCTTTGCATGAATTATACTTATATATATTCTTCTGTGCTTGCTTTTCTCACATAACACTTTTGTTTCTGAAATTCGTTCATCTTGATGAATGTAGCAAATCTTAGTTCATTTTCACTGTTCTGAACCATTCCATTTTATGAACATGCTATACTTTATCTGTTCTTCTGATGAATGTTTAGGTGGTTTTCAGGTTTTTTGCTATTTCACATGATGTAGCTACGGGTATTTCTGAGCATATGAGCATATGGGTAAACGTTTTCTTCATTTTTGCTAAATTGATGGGTATGAAATAGTATCTCATTGTAGACTTAATGTGCATTTTCTGAGTCCTAATGAGGTTGATTACCTTGTCATGTTTCTTCATCTATTAACTATCTGTTCAAGTCCTTTGCCCACTTTTGTTTTAGATTGTATTTTTGTTAATACTTTTTAGGAGTTTTAAAAAATATAGTGGAGACTGGATATATCTTTTTTAATTGTATGTATTGCAAATCTCTCCCCCCAGTTCTTGGCTTGTCTTCTCATGTTCTTTTTGGTGTTTTTCAGTGAATAGAAGCTACAGAGCAGCCTATACTGAGGACTTTAGAAACGTTAGCATTGACCCAGCTTATCAGTAATACCGCTGAGCCCTAAATCCCATACAAGCCTTAGTTTCAGATCCATTTTATGATTTTCCTTTATAAATCTTTATAAACGATGCTCTTTTATCTTCTCTAGTCAGTTTTGGGGTGCAGGGGAGAAAGGAAGAACCACTTTAAGGATTGAGTAACGAGTTTTACGAGCACGTTTTAAAAGTTTTTCTCTAATCATTTTTTAGGCTGGACCAGAATATGGTCAAGGAATGAACCCCATCAGCCGCCTGGCTCAAATTCAACAGGCCAAAAAGGACAAGGAGCCCGATTATGTTTTGCTTTCAGAAAGAGGAATGCCTCGACGTCGGGAATTTGTGATGCAGGTATTTCTAGTTTTTATATTAGAAGAATTTTTTTTTTTAACTATTGAAAAAAATGTACAAATCTCCAGCTTGAAATAGAGATATGGGGAAAAGGCAGACTGAAATTAATAGCAGAAAGTAACACTCTTTGCACTAAAATCATTCGTTCCTTCCAGGCCCACCTACCAACTTGGCTGAAACATTCAAGTGTCAAGGACATGTTAGAACAGATAGAAGAGTTTTGAAGGCCCTGTGAGTTCACACGGGTTATTTACCACAGGGTTTATCATTTAGAATGCTTGCCTCTAATTTACTGTGTTACAGTTTGCAGCCAGAGTCTGTTAACTACTGGGACCAGGAGACAGATGGAATCAGAAACAAAATTGAGGATGGATGTAGTGGATGGAACAGGGCCAAGAGCATGAACTTTTGGGTTCTCAGGAAAATTAGGAGAAGAGAGCTACTGTCTCCTAACGGTGGTGAGGACTGGGGGACTCAGAACTGCCGAGAGGGTTAAGTGCTCTGTCGTGTAGCCAAGAAAATTGAAGAGTGTTTGCTAATGTGTTGGCTGGTGGGTGGGGACCAGGAATAGGGTACTTTGCCCAAAACGCCCTGCTTTCAGGTCCTGCCTGTCCATCTTCATCTGCCAGCTCAAGTCCCAGAGTTGAAAACACCTTTAATTTTTATTATGACAATTTCAAACATATAAAAGGTGGATAAATTTAATAGTATACTATAAAGAATAGTATACTGACGTGTTGGAAAATATGCCCATCGTCCAGAAACAATTAAGATTTTTACCTCACTTGCTTCAGCCATAAGTGTTTTTTCTCCCGTACCCCCTTGCTTTTGTTTTTCCTGAAGAATTTCAAAGCTAATTTCTAAGTCATTTCATAATACATACTTAGTGTGTATCTCTAAAAAAAAAGAAAAAGTTAAGTTTTTCTTACATTAGGCATAATTCATTAGAATCATCTAATACCCAGTCTATATTTTAAATTATTGTCCTCAAACTGTTTTTGTTAAAATTGGCATAAAAAAGAAACTTTTTCTAGTCCAACCTATGGAGCTCACCTTTAAATATTCCAGTTAAAATCAACAGATATTTGCTAAGTACTGACCATGTGTGAGAAATGTTGGTCCTTAAACACGGTCTCTCATATTGGTGAACTTTTCATGCATATCTAAATTTCCCTAATTCATGATCTTCCTATTTCTTTATCTCATGGTACCCAGTACAGTGGTCTGTATGTAGTAGTATCTTAATAAACCTTTGATGTGTGTTTGCTGCCTGCCTGATTGAGAGCTAGTTGTGTTTGGCTTTTGTTGGAGATGTACACTTACAGTTTACATCTTCCTCCACGGAGGGAGTTCTTCGATGGTTAGTAAACCCACTGTTGACTACATGTCATTAGGACCTGGAAGTTTTTTTTTTTCAGTATTTTCTCTTTTAAAATATACACACCATTTTTCTTTTTGTATTCTTAGCTTTGAAGAATTCTAGAAAGCACTCTTTGAACTCCAAAGCTGGAAGGGGAAAAAACTACCCAAATTTTAGACCTGTGTTAGGAATAAAAATGGGCCTTGACTATTAAACGGTTCCTTTTCTATGGAATATACTGAGTACCCCTTTGGAAAGAGGAATTTAGAATATCTTACACCAACTTCTGTTTTATGGGCATTCATAAACATGCTCGTCAAACAGCAGCATTTGGCTATGCTTTCACATGTTTTCACACTGAATTCATATTGTTTTTTTCCCCTCCTGGAAGCCCCGGCGGATTCATTTCCGTATTGCAGAAACTTTATCAAAGTAAAGGCTTTTGTATAAACTACTTAAGCGATGTTATCATTTGCTGTAATCGAATGTGGGAGTAAAATATCTAGAGATGATATGCTAATGTTTATTTATCACTAAAAAAAAAAAAGTTTGTGCGTTATAAAATGGTTGTAGTTACCTTGTATTGATTACTAGGTAAAGGAAAACTTCTTGTGACATTATTTGGGTATTTAGTTCCAGAGTAAATTTCTTAAAACTTTTAATATTTTTGCAGAAGGATATTTTAATTTTTCAAAGAGGAAATAATAATAACTAAACTGAATTGCCTATCAGCATACTGTATCGTTATATATCATTTAATATTAGTTTTTCTATCTGTGATTGAGATCTCCAGGTTTTTATTATATATATATGTAAGACAAATTTCATCAATTTTATTTGTGTCTCAGTGAAAGATAATTAAGTTTTTGGTAAATGCTGTTTTAGAACTTTTTTGTTAGTTTTTTGAGGACTTGATTTGTTTAAATGATTTGCTTAAAGACAAAAATCTGGCAGTCTTAAATTTATTGCATAGCAAAGTCGAGCTTCTTTGCAGACCAATTAACGTTTTAATGTAAAAATCTTTATAATATAAAATTTGTGAGCTTTTTATGACGTTTATTACCTGCTTACTTGACTCTTACAGTGACGTGATTTTTTTTTCTTTTTGAGCGGCCATTGTGTTTGTTAGAGAATCAAGGCCTTCAGCACAGTGGTCTTTTTCTAACAAATAACGTGGGGTAGCTGCTGACAAACCATTGAACCATGTGACTCTGAAAACTTGTGTGAAGCAGAGGGCGGGTGAATGGGAAATGAACCTGGAAGCCTCTGTCCTAGAAATGACTCTCGAAGGTGACTCCCATCAGTTCAGATGGGAAGTCGGCAGACAGCTCCAAGGTGAACGCTGAAGTGGGAGCAGCCTGATCCAACAGCAGGAGCCCAAGCCAGAGGGCCCCGGCCTGGGTCGATCAGCGAGGCCTTGGGATGAACAGAAGGACTGAATGAGAGCGAGTGAGGTGTATACAGCCTGTAAAGGCAGATAAAACGTTTTTTGCTGCCCAGTGATCTTTTGCTTCCATTTACCTTGGCCAGTCTTTTGATTCTCAAAGCAGTAGAAAAAGCTTCTGACGTAGCCGGCTTAATCTTTTAGCTAGCAGGCATTCCTACAATGACACAGGGGCTAGTGAAGCTGGGGAGCAAATGAAGCCCTGGAAAAAATAATAGGTAGCAGAGGCTGGCTCCCGTTAGGGACTCACAGACATTATATCTGGGGCCTGTTGTGTCCAGGTCAGGTACAGGCCAACTTGGATATGGGAGGTGGTGCGTGTTCACCCCAGTCCAGTCAGTGCTTCTGAGTGAGGTCCATAGATTGCTGTTGATTTGTCATAATGTGGTAGTTTCCGGTTTCAGAAGGAAAGCAGTGAAGGTTTCAAAGACATTGCACAGATTTGAACTATAAGATCTGAGATAGTTGTTACAGAAATTCTATAATGAATACATTTTCAGTGTTTCCTATACGACAAGAGCTATGTCATTTGTTTCATCTTGACTAAAATTCTGTTAAGAGTGTAATTTCTTTTTCATATTAATTTACATATTATTTATATTTTTCTCTCCCTGCTGTGTTATATATCCCTAGTTTCTTAAAAGTAGTTAGTTCTTTGAATCTTGAAAGTAGTGATGGAAATAACAACACAAATAAAACTCTAAATAATGTCGTAAGAATAAATGGCAAACAGTACACAAGTGGATGCCAGACGGGACTATGTGTTCTGAGACAAGTGAAATAGCCAATATTATGATTTCAAACAAGAGCCAAAAAAGAAAAATTGGGCTAGAAGTATCATGCTTCATATCTGGAAACTGGCTTTAGTTGTACCATATACTCATTCATTGCCAATAACCAGTAAATTCTTATTGTGAGATTTTATTAAAGTGGCATGAAGCTATTGAAGCTTTCTGATTTTTTTTTTTAAATGAAACACAGTGACATCTGGTAAAACAATTCAAAATTTCTGATGTAGATTGCCTGTTCAACTCTCTTGATTATTTTTCTACAGGCTTTAAAAAAATTTATAGGAATTTACTATATATTCTAGAATGGGAGTCTTTCGCTGTTATATGGCATTTCAAATTCTCTTGTGTTGTGACTTTCCTTTTTTTTTTAATGATGTTTTTTTGAGGAACAAAACTTATTTTAATGTAGTCAAATTTATCTGTCTTTTCCCTTAAGTTAACTTTATAATAAATATAGACATCCAGAAGAATAAGGGCCCCCACCTTGTTCTTCCTCAAAAGGATCTTAGCTGCTCTTAGCACTTTGCATTTCCATGTAGAATTTGGAATCAGCTTGTGAAGTATTGTAAAAATATGTGTCGGATTTTGATGGGAATTCATTGAATTTATAGATCAATTTGAAGACAATTGATATTATAATGTTGAATCTTCAATACCTGAACATGGCATATCTCTATTAAATTTATCTTAATTTTTCTCAATAATGCTTAGTTTTCTGTGCGAAGGTCTTAAACATCACAAGTGTTTGAGTTTTATTTAATGTGAATGATATCTTTTAACAGTTTTCGTTTTCTACATGGTCACTGACGGAATGTACAAATGCAATTGGCTTTTGTGTATGACCTTTCATAGAGAACTTGATATATTCTCATAAGTTCTTATTTGTAAGATTTTCGTGGGTTTCTTATGTAATTACCATATCAGCAGATAATGAGATTGTTTTTACACTTCTAATTATATTTTTTCTGGCCTTATTGCTCTGTCCAGGATTTGTAGTAAAATGTAAAATACTAGAAAAAAAAGAGAGCATCCTTGTCTTGTTTCTAATTTCAAAATTTCGATATTAAGTATAACGTTTGCTGAGGTTTCCTGTAGGTTTTTGTAAAATGTCCTTTGTCATATTAAGGATTTTTCCCTAAGAGTTTTTCTTTTGCTAAAAGATTTTGTTATGAATGGATGTTGAGTTTAACCAAATGCTTTTGCTACATTTATTAAGATGACCACATGGTTCATCTCCTTCACCTGCTAATATAGCAGATTCCACTGATTGATTTCGTTTTGAGTTTTGAATGTTAGATCAACCTTTCATTTCTGGAGTGAATCTAACTTCATCATGATTCTCCTTTTTTATATTGCTTTGTTCAATTTACTACTATATGGTTTAAACTTTAGCATTTATGTTCATAAGTGAAACTGGTCTGTACATTTCCTTATACTATTTTTGTTGGAGTTTATAATTACATTCGATTTTAGCCAAAAGGCCAAGAAGTGATTAGATTTTGTAATCACAATGATTCCTCACTGAATAATTGAGGACCAATCCCTCTTTTTCTAAACTTGGGTGAATTTTTGTAAGATTAGCGTTATTTTTCCTTAAATATTGGGTAGAACTTGCTGAAGAAGCTCTCAGGAGTTTTCTTTGTGGAAAAAATTTTTAAATTATGGTTTTAATTTCTTTAGTAGGAATAGGCCTGTACAGTTATTGGTTTGTTCTGTGCCGGTTTTGGTAATTCTTTAGGAATTTGTCCATTTTATCTAAATCTTCAAAAAATTTTTGCTAAGATACTCAGTATTCCTTGTTATTTTGTAATGCTACAGAAGCCCCTGTAATCTCCTATTTTCATTCTTATTTGTGTCTTTTAAAAATTTTTTCAATCAGTCTTACCTTTGGTTTATCATTATATTCTTTTCAGGGAACTTTGGTGTTTTTGAACTTCTCTGTTATACTTTGTTTTCTATTTTCTTAATTTCTGCTTTTGTCTTTGTTTTCTTAGGATACATTTTGCTCTTCATAACTTCATGAGATGGATGTTTAGCTCATTACTTTTATGTCCTCTAAGCTTTTATGACTGTATTTTCTGTTTCACTTTTTAATTGCATTCTTCAAGTTTTGATATATTACATTTCCATTATTATTTATTTAAAATGTTTTTTAATTTCCACTAGGATTTTTTCTTTTGCCCATAGATTATTTAGATTACATTGTTTAATTTCCAAAGTTGCGATTATCTTGTCTGCTTCTTCAGTCACTCACTGAGATCAATGTATAAAAACAAATCCCACTGTAAGACGTGTATTTCTTATTTCTCCTTGTAATTCTATTCTTTTTTGCTTTCCATTTTACGTTTTCTATCTGTATTATCTCTTGGGACATGTATCTCTAAAAGAGCATTACTCAACTCAGAACATGTATGTGTGGATGTAAGATGTCTGATGTACATCTAAATAACATGCATATATGTATATATACACATAGATGCACATATGCATCACTTATTCACTAAAGATAACTGTGGAGTAGTTCTAATGATAAAAACCTACCGCTTATTGAGCAGTTATGGTTAAATCATATACTGTAGTTTGCATACATTTTTAAATTTAATTTTCAAAGCAGGACAGTGAGAGGTAGTTGTATCACTTCTCTTTTACTGATGAAAAAGAGAGGCTTAGAGGTGTCAAATAATTTGAATAAGTTCATATCGCTAAGAAGAAGTAGAGTTGAATTTCAGACCCAAATCTGACTTGGAAGTCTGTGTTCTTAACCACAATATTGTACTAACCCTTGTATATTAATTCTTCAGGAACTATTTAATATAAACCTTTGTAAACTTGGGATGTAATATGAACATTATTTTAAATGGGACAAACATGAATTTTAGCCCTTTCAGTTTTATTAATTTAAATAAAGAATAGTATATGTAGTCAGAACCAACACAAACTGTTACAATGCGAATATTATTTTTTCGCTTATATAAATAATACAAGCTTATTGTTTAAAAAAGCAAATAATATAGAAATATGTAAGAAAGTTAAAATTTTCTAAGATTTTATCATCCTGAGCTAACCCCCCATTGACATTTTGAGGACCATATTCCCATTTTTTTCCTCCACGTATGTATTGTATACATAATATTACACACATGGGATCCTAATCGCTGATTTTATCATGGACTGAACTTTAAATTTCTGAATGCTACGGAGCAGAACATATTGCTTTACGGTATTAAAGAGTTCCTGTTTCCCAAAGCAACTCTCATTAATTTCTTACTTTAATCTTATCAGGTCAAGGTGGGCAGTGAAGTTGCTACTGGAACAGGACCTAATAAAAAGATAGCCAAAAAAAATGCCGCAGAAGCAATGCTATTACAACTTGGTTATAAAGCGTCCACTAGTCTTCAAGATCAACTCGACAAGGTGAGAGTTAAGTTTATCCTTAAGTGTCCTATTCCGTGAGAATATCAAAGTCATGAACAAATTCTGTGCCAGTGTTCCTCGGTGTCTTAACTAGTGTTGAAGTAGACATCACGTTTTAACTTTTCTAAGGCAGTGCTCTGTCTTTCTGTCTTTAAAGATAGATTCTCTAGGTACAGATCAACATCTGTATATGGGGTCAAAATGAAATATTAATTATAATCTTACAATTAGCAAATACTAAAATTTGTTGTAAGTTTGTACATATTTTATATAATACCAATTTAGTAATTTTTAGCTTATTGACTGGTGGGTTTTGCCACGTAGACACAGTTTTAATTTGTGCTTTTTAAGAACAGGGGTGGTTAGCTTTTATTTCTGAAATACAGCTGAAAACACTGGAAATAAAGATCCTGAGTTATCCCTTTAGGGCAGGAACTATATTGGACAGACACTCTATAAAATAATTTTTCTATTTACTTTAAATTTAAAGGTAAACTCAGAGGGTGTTTATTTTCTGCCAAGACTTGTGTTCCCGGTTCTGTTTCTCTTGCGGCAGTTAATGACATCATTAACACCTGCCTCCACTGCAAGAGGAGCAGAGAACCCTGAATTCAGGACTTGGCAAGAACTGGCTGAACTGCATTTAGCATGAAATCACCGTTTTATCTACGCATCCTTAGAAATTATTTTTATTAAATATTTTATTTATGTGAAAATTTATAGAACGGGCTTAATAATTATTTCTATCAAAAACCTGATGCTTTTTTCCGTGCCACTTTCTCATAAAGGAATCTGCTACAGAGACATTTTCAGTTTCTGCAGGAACACATTTCAGAAGTTTAGAGTAGGAAAAAAATCATCTATTAAAAACCATTTTAGATGTATTTTTCTTTTTAAGGCAGCTATGAATATGTAGGCAATTATCTTGAGTGATTAAAAATTATTTGTCTGTGTGGTATCGCTAGAGATTTGAATTCTGTTTTTATAACCTGAGTAGTCAATGCTTTTTCTTCCTTTAAAAGTATTTGTAACATGAAACCTAACATGTGTTCAAGTTTCTATAGTTCTTGTATTGTGTATATGTTGTTTTAACTTAACACATTTATATTGACTTAAAACTGGTGAGTGATTTATAAAAATATGTCAAAATAAATCTCATAGACATTTATTTGTAAGTTAAGTGAAAACAAAACAGAACCAAAAACCAGCAGTAATTTCATTAATTTAAAAACATTTTATGCAAACCCACTGTATCATTAGGGTTCCCCAGAGAAATAGCCAATAAGATACGTGTAGTATGATATACATGTATAAACACATACGTGTGTGTTCATAAACATATAGATCTACACAGACACATACAGACATATGTACACATACGTCAGCGGTCCCCAAACCCCGGGCCGTGGACCGGGACCAGTCAGTGGCCTGTTAGGAACCGGGCCGCACAGCAGGAGGTGAGCGGTGGGCCAGTGAGCAAAGCTTCATCTGAATTTGCAGCCGCTCCCCAGCACCAGCATCACCGCGTCAGCTCCACCTCAGATCATCAGGCATTAGATTCTCATAGGCGCCCCGGTCCCTGGTGGCAAAAAGGTTGGGGAGCGCGGATATACATCACACACAGAGGCTTCTTTTAAGGAGTCAGCCCGCGGGATTGTGGAAGGTTGGCTAGTACGAAATCTGCTGGGCAGGCCGGTGGGCTGGAGACTCATGAAGCAGTTCTGGCCGCTGCCCGAAGTCAGTCTGCCAGAGACTCCCTCTTGTTCCGGGGAGTCAGCCTTTCCTTCCAGCCGCCGTCCACCGGTGATCCCACCCACATTATGGGGAGCAGTCTGCTTTCCTCGGAGTTCAGTTATTTAAATGCCAAGTTCTCTCCAAAACGCCCTCACAAAAACACCCAGGATGGTCTTCAAATAAATACCTGGGCACTGTAGCCCGGGCAGGCGGACCCATAAATCAGCCATTATACTCACCAAATACCAAATATGGCTGAAGGTGACCCGATGACCGACACCTGGTCCCCACACTCAAGGAACTGACCGTCAGTGTCAGGGGTGAGGAGTTTTAATCCCATAACAGAAATTATAGTATCCCGGAGCCTAGAGAGCGTGATGATGGATCTGGAGGTCAGAAATAGCTGAGATCACTGTTTTTACGTGACGTAAAGAACTTGAGGAATTAGTCATTTAAGATTTGAACATGAAAGCGACAAGATCTGGTTTGCAGTCTTCAAAAGACGAGCCTGTAAGTGATGCAGTGAGTGGGTTTGACTGGGGTAAGACACGTGCTGAGGTCTGGACCAAGGCGGTGGCCCGGAGAGGGCCGGGGGGGGACACCAGCCATGTGTCTGAAGCGTAGCTGGTGGGATTTCAGCAGCAGCTCGTCTGCCTGGGGGATACAGGAGGAAGGAGAGGGGAAGAATACTGACTGTAGGAGACAGGTGGTAGCCACTGCTGCAGAGATCAAATAGGAGAGGGTCTCAACACTGACCCGTCAATAAGAAGATCCTTGGTGACTGGCAAGAGCCGTATGTAAAAGGTTTTTTTTTTTCTTTTTTTTTTTTCAGAAAGCAAGAAAGCAAGTCATGGATGATTGACTTGATGCGTATATTTTTGAATAAGAATTCAAATAGCACATTTCTTTTTTTTTTTTTCAGAAAGCAAGTCATGGATGATTGACTTGATGTGTATATTTTTGAATAAAAATTCAAATAGCACGAAAGAGTAAACGGTGTAAAAAATGTTAGTCCGAGACCCTTAGGCTCAGTCTCTGCCTAAAGGCATCTCTCACCGTGAGTTAATGTTTGTACAGCATGTAGAATAGTGTCCTTAGCATAACGAATATTGAATATGAAATGAAGATTTGATAAATAAAAATAAATATCCACACAAAGAAATTCTATGAGTATACACTAATATGCCCCCCCAAGTAAAAAAAAAATGTGATCAATTGAGGTCCATTTCAATGAATTTTGACAAATACGTATGTGTATACTCTTTAATCACCACTGCAATTAAGATTTACAGCATTTATGTTATCCCCCTAATTTTCTTAACGCCCAGTTGTAGTTAATCTCCTCCCCCGTCCTCGGGCCCAGGCAGACACGGGTCTGATTTCTGTCTCTTATAATTTTGTCTTTTCCAGAGTGTCAGATAAATTGAATTCCGTATTATGTAGTCTTTTGTCTCTAGTTCTTGTCGCTGAGATTTATCCAGGATGTCACATTTATTATTATTTTGTTTATTGTTTTATTCTTCTCAGTCTTTTGGGTTGTTTCTAGTTTGAGGCTATCATAAAGTGGTTATAAACATTCATGTATAACTCTTTACATGGACGTATTAGGATAATAAATCCATGTGTAACTTTATAAGAAATTGAAGAGTTGTCCAGATTTTGCATTCCCTCCAGCAATACTGGAGTGGTCCAGTCCCTCCCCTCCCATCTTCTCTAGTTCTTGGTATGGTCGGTTTTGAGGTTTTGATAACTTTGATCAGACTAGTAGGTGTATAATGTTATCTCACTGGATTTTAATTTGCATTTCCCAGTAACTAATAATGTCGAGTATCTTATCATGTGTTTACCATTTGTATCTCCTCCTTTGAAGTGTCTGTAAAAAACTTTGATCTCTTCACCATTATCCTCGAATTTCCTTTCGCCTCTCTACCCCTTTGAGTTGCCTGTTTTCTGGACAATTTCCCTCGTTCTTAACTGACGTCTTTGTTTTGATGGAGCACATACTTCTGAGAGAGGATACATGGGAAAAATTTTTTTTGCGATGTCATAGGTCTGAAATATCTTTCCATTTCCCACATACTTAATAGTTTTCCTGAGATAGAATTCTAAATCGGAAGTAATATTTTTCAGTTTTGAAGGCGTTACACCTGTTTTCTGACTCCTCGTCTTGCTGTTGAAACTCCAGTGCCTTCTGAGTCTTCAGCCTGATACGAAACCTTTATGTTTCTTCTTCCTCTCAATGCTTCTCAGTTTTTTTTTTTTTACCCCACGGGTTCTGAAATTTCATGGATGATTGACTTGATGTGTATATTTTTGATAAACAGTTTTGGGCGGTTGGATTTCAATTCTTCATATGCTTTAAAACTGGGAAATTTCTTGCATTATTTATGGATTATTAGAGTATCAATTTAGACATGTTTTGGGAGAGAGAAGAGGAGGTTACTCCTCGTGTTCACTCTGTTGCGTTTAAGCCTAAATCTTACAAAAGCAGTTTCATTAGATTGTTGAGGTAGAAGTGAGAGAGCAGTAGGCTTGAAATTCAGTTGAAGGTGAAAAATTAGGCATAGGGAATGTCATCCAACCTCGGTTATCAATAGAAGGAGGAAATAAGAGAGGTTGGATGAGATGCTGAATTTATTATTACTAACCTCAAATGCCTGAGAATCTGCATTCTTCTAATCAGCCTGTTCTTCCCCGCTGAAGGTGGCTTATTGTTTACTGCGTGCACTTCCCTCCGACTTACTGCTCCTCACAGTCTGCGTTCCTCCCGTTCTGTAGTCTTGTCTTGTGCTTCGCGGAGGGCGGACGAGTGGGAATCTCCCCTGGCCTTCCCACCAGCATACATCTGCATTTACAAACATTTACTCCTCCCCCATCCTTTACAGCGACGCACTATTTGCTAGAACTGTATTTTTTTGTTTACATCTGGATTTAATTTATCCATTTGATCTTTGACAGCTGATTACAAATATAAAATGTTGATTATGATAGGAAGTATGCCTTTTCTTTCCTGGAGTGCCTCCCATCAGTAATACCAGCTCCCCAGAAAGAGAACATAATCAATAAATGTCACTGATTAATTAATTTGATCTAATACTACTTCAAAATATCTGAGTTTCAGAATGTATTACACCAAACATATATCAAATCGTCTGGTGAAAGTTAGGATATTAACAAGTTTTACTTAAAGGTAGGGCTTAGTTTTTAAGTTTTTGCATACATCATTAGCAATATCTGGTGATTGTCATCATAGGACTTTTCCAGAACAGACAGTAATATCTTTATTGTTAATTTGACCTCAGGAGTGTTAAAGAAGCTCTTTTAGTCACTTTAGCACTTGTGATGATGATTATTGTTTACTATTTGGATAAGAATCATCTACTTTTTTAACCATCTAGATATAGCGCATGTTGCATGTAATACCTATACTGAATATGGGGTCCCTCGTTGACTTAAATTGTAAATTTAAATGAACAGATGAAAGTTGAAGGAGACATAAACAGATTCGAATGTAAAAAAGGGATGGATGATACCGTTTAAGTTAGTTGCTCTTGTGTCCATGGTCCTGGGTCAGAGATGGAGAGAATACGCAGAGTTTTGTGAGAGACCTTTACCTTTGCTTAATCGATGAGTTAACTTTTTCCTTTTTGAATAAGTCTGCTTCTCTGGATTTAAACAATTGTTTTACTCTTTCAGACAGGGGAAAACAAAGGATGGAGTGGTCCAAAGGCTGGGTTTCCTGAACCAACAAATAACAGTAAGTTTTCGCTTTCCTGTTAACCGTGCGTGGTGTTCACCGGTAGTTCAATGACCGGGTCACTGGGTAGTTGTTGGCTCTGTCTGGGCTCAAGACGCCATGTCGAATGTTGCCCCGGACAAAGGTTGTGGGGTTCGCGCTTCTGGAACCGATAGACGCGCACAT